GGTGCGGGTGGTTCCGTTCTGTTGTACACAGGGCCCCCCTATGAGTCAGAACCAACACAAGGGTACAACAACGACAGCTAAGCCTAAATGCAGCAGCTGCTGGGCCGGAATGAAGGGCTGTCAGATGGTCAGTGAGCATTCTGAATATGCTGGGCACCCCCCTGGCTACCACCTAGCAGAGCCTTGGTTTAGTGGTAACCCATAGTTTAGAGGGAAGTCAGGAGAGAAGCTATTCAATTGGCCTCTACCTGGGGTCAATGACCCTTCAGTTCCAAAGATGGTCTTCCAAGAGAGGAAACTCCATCCTCGCACACGCTCTCCCAGATTTCTGTCCTGAGAGCCGTGGCTCGTGTAATGGGGATGATGGGAGCTCCTGCATGCTTCTTATGGTTAGGTCACCAAAAGGCTTATTAAAAATTGAAAATTTTTCTCCTGATGACTCCTTTGGGAAAGAACACAGAATGTCCAAATTGAATGAAGAGACAGGGTATCACTGAAGGAAAATATCTCAGGGGGAGAAAAAGAAGATGATGAGACCTTGCACATCAAATCCTTTGGGGAGAAGAAACGACAGCTATAAATAAGGGCATGAACTCTGCAGATCTCATGGAAATGAGGTGCCAGAGAGGATGTTGCAATTTGAAATCCATCTCCAAGGAAACTACTGGATGGAGCTTGCAAAAACAAGTAACAATCCAACAGAAAAATCACCACTTGTTCTTTAAAAAGTCAATGTCTACTTTCCCTGAATCCTCCGACGAGTTTGCAATGCACCATTTACTTTGGGGGTCAGATTCTTCCCCGTTTGGTTTATACCATCTCACTATCATGTGTAAGAAATATTCTGAACGTGGGTAGTTCTCATCCATTGCTGCAACCTGCTTATCCTGAGACCCAGCCAGGTAAGGGTGCCAGTTCAGACTTCTCAGCAGCCAGCTCTCGGCTCCAATCCAGCTTTATTATCTTGGGACACTTTTATGACTCTCTGAGGCATTATGCCCTTATCTGTACAATGGGTATAAAAATATCTACCAAATCACGGATGCTAACAGCATAAATTAATCGATATGGCAATACAGAAAGGGCTTGGAAAATCACAGGCTGCTAAAATGGTTCATTTCCTCTTTATCCCTTTTCCCTGGGGGATGGCATTCAAGGTCTCAGAACCCTGACCGCCTGGTATACCACATGGGGATAATATCCACTCTCCAGACCGGCTGACAGCTAATTAAAAATCAACCCGTTATTTGGAGCCAGTCCCTACTTAGGGGACTCCCTGTGCGTGTCAAAGGATAATTGAACGCCATCTGATTTTTAGGGGTCGGTTTTTGGAATCAGATTGCCAGTGCTTTCTTCTGAGGCTCATTCTGGTTGTATTTCTTCTAAGAATGAGTTATTTGTCCTTTTGAGACTCCATATGCATTCATTGTTGATTGCTAACACCCCAATGGAATTCCATTATTCTTCTGTCTTCCTTTTTAAAAATATCCAACTTGCACAGACCTGTGAGGGTTGGGTTTACTCATTATTTATAGTAAATACATAGAGAGTTGTATTCATGAAAACATATTTATATTTGCTGCTCACAGGAAGGCCAAGGAAGTGCACGGTGAAACCATAAACATGAAAGTATGAGCCCCACGAGTCAAATCAGATTCAGAAAATCAATATCCATGGTTTTAAGAAGGAAGCTAATCTCACAAAGAGGCTGGTTTTGACAAGCAAGGGAAGAACTCTAGACATGGCGCAGTGGTTATTATCTAATTGGTGCAAAGGGTCATGAACGGGGGAGAGGAAGTGTGATGGAAGAACACAGATTCTGTAAACGGCAGGCATACCTCTGTGATGTTGAGGTTAAGTTCCCGATTGCACAATAATGCACACAAGGCAATCCCGTGAGTCACACGATGTTTTTGATGCCGTAAAATGAAAAAACTCCCTACCATTTATGCAGTGCCCACTCATAGTGACCCTGTAGGGCGGGGTGGAACTGCCCCTGGGAGTTTTTCACTCTGTATCGGAGTAGAAAGTCCTGGTTTTCCACTGCCTATCAAAATTATTGCTTCAAAATAATTCACGGAATTAATTCAATAGTGGTGGGTTTAGTGAGGTTTCTTGGGGCGTAGGCTATTAAGTAGGCAGTAAGATGGTGAAAATGTTTGAAATATTGTGAGAATTGCCAAAATGTAACACAGAGACACAACATGATCACATGGTGTTGGGGCAATGTTGACCACAGACTTCCTAAACCCAGGCTTGTCACAAAGCGTCACTACATGGGACAACATAGTATCTGCGAAACATGATAAAATGAAGTAAGCTTGCTGGGCTGTGGATTCGCTCTAAGCAAGGTTACTCTTTCCCAGCTCACTTTTCCCTGAGAAAGTATGATAGCAACTGCAGTGATATGTTGTCCTCGATTTTTCTAGCAAAATGCCAGCAGGAGCTAGCTACAGTTAAATCAGGTGATTGTGGGACTTGGCTTTGGATCTCACAGCATCTCCCCTTTCGCTTCCGAGCACCAGCTGTGGACCCAGGACCTCAGCCACTCTTGAGCAACTGCACAACTCTGTATACAATGGACCCGCCAGCCCTGAGAGGAAAGGGCCCTGGTTTCTGGGCCTGCCTGTTTGAATCTATAGGAAATGGCCTTGATTTCCTTGGCTAACCTATTTAGACTCTTCTTTTGAACCCAATTCTTTGGCCTTTATCCCATTGTTCTAGCTCTTCCTTAGAATTAAACCCAAAGAGTAACTCCCTGACTAAGTAAACTTTTCAAAGCATGCCTGCTTGGAACTGAATTGAATGATTGATGGATTCAGTACATAAAGACTCTTCTCTGCCTCTCTTGCTCCATGCCTTCCCTCCCTTCCCTTTCCCTCCCTTCATTTCTCTTTCCCTCCCTATCCCTCCTTCAACCCCATCCTCCCTTCCCTCCACCCGGCCTCCCTCCGTTCATTCCTCCTTTTCTCCTATTACATAAACTTCCTATACCAACGTCCAAATTATCTTCTAGGACCCCATTATCTTAGCAAATGATTATCTCTCTAACAGTGGTTCTTAATTGAGGATACTGTTGCTCCCTCACTCCCCCCCAAAGATGTAGGCAACGTTGGCAGTTATTTGTCAAATGGCTGCAGAAAACCTGGGATGGGGATGCTGCCACTGGCATTTAGTAGGTACAGGCCAGAGATGGGGCGAAACACATTACAATGCACGGGCTTGTGCAACAAAGATCTATTGGACCCCAAATGTCAATAGTGATAACCCCTGTCCTACAAGGACATTTTCCCTGCAGCTTTAAGTACCACTGCGTACCAGGATGTGAAGGAGCAAAGCCCAGACCAAATCCAAAGAACTTTTGGCTGCGCCTCTTCTCCAGTGCTTCCACAGATTGAGTATTGGCACATCATTAAAGACAGGTCATACCCGCTTTATAAAACAGGAGACAACGCCCTCCCCCACAGATTGCTGCTGGGTGCCAGAGAACCCTGGGACCCTTTGACCGTCTCTTTGTACTCGCTCTAATAGAAAGGCAGCAGAGTTCCTCTTTTTAATGAAGCATTGGGTTACTATTAAGTTTGACATAATTCTAGACAGTTGGTTACCTGGGTGGGCAATCCTTTTCATGGCACTTCTTCTGTCTCCCCTTGGGTTGGGTTGCTGGGTTACAGAATGTAGCTTTCACCACTCCCCGGCCCTTCTTCATGCAATGGGCTGTCTGGCGGCGGATACCTGGGGGTCAGGCAGAAAGATAGGTAGTGAATCCTAAGCCCATTGATGCTCCATTTCCAGTGAGTCACCAACTCATGTCAAGAGGTCATGATTTTCAACTGATGGGAAGGTTGTTGAAAAGGTATTTGGTGTATCATGCTGAACTCTAGTTATCCATCTGAGTTAGTTAATTGTGCCAACCTGGCTGATAATCACATGTGGGGCTAAATGAAAGGCGGAGGGATAAATGGGTGGTGAGCCTCGCCTTTCGAGTTCTCAGGTCTCTTGCTTTGTGATGGTTCCACCAGGGTTCAGCTGCCTCAGCAGTTCCCTGCTGCAGCTTGCAAGATTGACTTCCTACAAGACATCCCCAAGGAGAAGCCACATGGACCTATCCCGATGCAGCCCTGAGTGCTGGAGCAGCTGTGTGGAGACCCCTGCTAGTGCTGAGATGCTTGTTCCTTCACTGACTCAGCTTTCCTCCTGCAGTCAGCATCATTGCCTCTGTTTTGTGAGGTGGAGAACTTTTGGACTGGTGTTGGGTTAATGGGTTAATGTTGGACTTGTGGGCTTGGGCAGCATTGGATTGGGATGTTTTCGTGATGCACACTTTCTTTACATAAAACTCTCTTATATATGAGTTGCTGTGGATTTGTTTCTCTAAAGTACCTAGACTAATACACCATCTTTACAAGGCAGTGGGGTGGAAGGGACATTACTTAAGAAGGGCTGTAAATAATATAGTTACCACATTCTGTGAAGTGCTTGGCCTTTGGCATCAGGCAGTTCTAGATTGTCTCGTGGCCAAGACTTAACTTCTCTTAACTTCAAGTCTCCACTAGCATATTGGACATTAGCAGCATTGCGGATGAGGTGGCAGGCATAGCACCACGTACAGTACTTATCACCCAGCAAGAACTGATTAACCCTTAGAGATTACTATTAGCTACTAAGCACTTAGTGAGGGATTGGGAAATGCTTCTAGAACTGGAACCAGATCTTGCCTTGAGGCAAATGAGTCTTAAACCCAACATTAAATCACTCAACAGATTATTCCTTGAGCAGCTACTACTCTAACTTTAAGAAGGTTATAATCACCGTGGGAACTAGACTGACACACATAACTGATACCATCAGCAGGTGTTACAAGGCAGTTGCTCCACTATTACCTTAATAAAGGTATATAAGTATAGTAGGTAGGGATTAGTAACCTTGGGTTTAGTAAACTACACGTGATGGGTACAAAACTCAAAATAATGTGATGTTTGAGACATTACGGTTTTAAAGGAAAGGATCAAAAAAACCCTTCATGGTGTGTGTGAAAGCAGAACCCCGCCCCTACCTTGCAGTGTAGGTCTAGTCCACACATGAGCAGACAGCCTCCTCTTTCTCCCACAGAGCTACTGCTGGGTTTGACATGCTGACCTTTCCGTTAGTAGTTCAATGCTTTCCCAATGGGGAACAGTTCTAATCTGCACTCTGGAGTCACCATGAGTTGGAGTTAACTTGACACCAACCGGTTTATAGGTGTCTACATCAAACCTATGCACTTTGTTGTTGCTACTGGGTGCCCATGAGTATTCCGACTCACAGAGATCCAATGTGCAACAAACACAGCACCGCCCAGCCCTGGGTCATTGCACAGTGGTTCCTATGTTTGAGCCCATTGTGGCAATCGCTGTGTCAATCCATCTTGTTGAGGGCCTTCCCGTTTTTCTGCTGCCCCTCTGCTTTAAAAAAGGAAATGTAGCATCTTAATTGATTGGAAACACCCCCCAAAGGCTTGTTTCTGTTACACCAGTAGCCCAGGTCAGTGACCTCAGTGTTCTTGACCTCAACGTAGCAGGAGGGCACTGAAGCTTACCATAAAATATACTCTAGAGCAGTGGTTCTCAACCTGTGGGTCGCGACCCCTTTGGGAGTGTCAAACAACCCTTTCACAGGGGTCACCCAATTCTTAACAGTAGCAAAATTACAGTTATGAAGTAGCAATGAAAATAATTTTATGGGTGGGGGGGGAGTGTCACCACAACATGAGGAACTGTATGAAAGGGTCGCAGCATGAGGAAAGTTGAGAACGAGTGCTTTAGAGCATCAGTAACATCTCCATGGGCCAATCCACTGAATCAACAGTGAGATGAACAGTTAGCTCGGTCCGACCAATGTTTCCCAATGTATACGTTAAAGTTAATAACTAGGTGTCAAGAGCTGGAATAACAGTCCTGCCAGCCCTCGTCGGTTCTGATGGCATTTGCAGGTCTCACATAACTGACACCATATCAAGCATAAATATTCCAACCCACCTGCCAGTTGCCCTTAATTCAACTTTGACTCAAAGAGACCTCATGTGTCAGAGTACAACTGTCCTTCGTCGTTTTCAGCGTCTGATTTTTCAGGAGCAGATCTGCAAGTCTCTCTTCGAAGGAACCTCTGGATGGACTGAAACCCCTAGCCTTTAAGTTGGCAGTTGAATGAATTAACTGATTACACATTTATTAATCGGCCGATTAGCTATTTTGTCAATGACTAAATTAATATTTGTAAGACAGAGGTCTTCTACGTTCCAATAAGGGGGATTAGTTCTCCGATGTCAGAAGGAAGCGCGAACAGACCTTTTCTCTCTTTGGATGTTTGTGGATTCATTTGGTAAAACTTAACCAATGATTTCATTCCTTTATCAATTTATAGTTTACAAAAAGCACACCCAAACAAACAAATGAACCCAGAAGCCCCAATAGTCTCTGCTTTTCCTTCTCCACACCACTTGTGTAAGCTTTCTGCAGAAAAGTATGTGGCACAGCCTTTAGACGGCTTGAGAGCAGGAAGCTGAGCTGCTTGATCCCTGGTTGTGTCTTCTACATTTTAAGATCTGCGAGTTTCTGAAAGGAAGACAGTGTTAAAGTTTATCATTGGGAACCTGGTGATGGTTAAAATAATTTTACCAGGGGGCTTCCAACATTCGGTGTAAAAATTCTGTTCTCTTTCAGTTCCATGTCGAAGCTTCTTCACAGATAATGCCTGTGTGTCTTTTCCTAGTTGACCTTCCTTGTCGTCCAATGCATCGCTTAGTTTAATTTCTTTCAATGAGCTGTATGTCCTGATGAATGGGAGCCTCGCCATTTGTAGTTAGATCATGTCCACATGGTTAAGACCAACCCATCACATCCTACCCCCAGGCTGCTAAGAACCAAGCCGGCCTTCTCATTGTTCTCTTCCTCACTGGAAGCAAGGGCGTCCAACCTGTGGCAGACTTAGAATGGATAAAACAGAAGCCTTTGTTGTGCTGAATGACTGAGCTTGTAATTTCTGTTACTGCAGCAGAGTCTACCCCATCCTAATAGCTGCATTAAGTGAATCTCTCAAAGCTTGATTTGTGCGGTGAAACCACACAGCAAAAAGGTCCAGTGAGTTGGAGAAGGAGAATGCTGGGTTTGCAATCAGGAGAGCTGGGCATGCCTTTGGGCGAGTTCTTGGACTCCTGAGGTCCTGGGATTCCCTACCACAGCCATGGCTTTGAAGCCTTTTTGTTATTCTCTTATAAAAGACATACAATCCTCTCTAAAATAAAAAAACAAAAACAGAAAAACAAACTTGCACAGAGGCCAATACATAAAGATGATTTTTTAAAACTACTTTTGCTTTAGCCCATGGTCCTGTACATGAACTGCCCACAGGGTATCTTGTGGGGTCCTGCAGACCCATGGATATAGACTGCAGAAGCTGGCTTTGACGGCTTCCAGAGGCCGGTCCTGCAGCTGGCAGGGTTCACAGTCGGGGCAGTGTGTCTCACAGTCTCACCTGTCCCACATGTTGTACTGCACTCTGTCCAGTGCCCATACTGCCAGAAGTGCCCCAGCTTCTCCACGTCATTGTCAAGGCCATCCTTCCGGACTGTGTACTCATACTTGATGCCCGGGTTTGTCACCTGGAACAGGAGCTAAAAGGCAAGACAGGAGGCAGGTCAAATCTGTCATGACGTTACACTGTGAAACAAAGTCACATAAGACATGTGGAAGCAGCCATGGCAGTATGCAGCAGAACAGATGACATCTAATGAATCTATATCTGTTTCTATTATCTATCTATCCATACATATCCACACA